AAAAGCATAGCTTGAGGTGGCTAATACATTGAAACTGGAGAACTGAAAAAAAAGTCGACACAAAAACATGAGAGCTGTCCCAAAAATACGCAATGAGCATTTTAATAAATCAAATTAAGTGGGCTATCATATTACTGGAGAGGGAAAAACCAGTAGTTAACAAACAAGAAAAAAGTTCTCAGGCTTTGTGGTCTGAATTCAATTGTACTAAAAAGGAAAACAGGATAAAAATGCAGTAAGCCTTAGCAGATTTAGGACATGCTGAACTAATCCAACACCTAATAAATTAATCAGTCATTTTCCTTGGAAAAAGAAAACTCAAACAAGATGCAATCTGCACTCAGTATATCATCTGGGGTTAAATAAATGTGATGAGAGGTAATCTTAAAATGAGAAAGAAACCATCTACAAGACTACAAGGAAACAGCATGCTGTTGCAAACATGGAAAAACTGGACTACAAAAGAACTACTAGTTCCTCAAAAAAATATGTTGAACTTTTTTTTTTTTTAAACAATGCTGCCAGAAATGAATGGGTAGATTTGGATGAGACAGAAGTGGAAAGCGCTGCAACAGAAGGGGAACAAAGAACAACGCACACGAGTCACCAGTATTGAAAAGTGGCATACTAGAAGCTGCATGAAATGAAGTCATACAAAACGCAAGGCTCCTACAGGTAGGGAACAACATAGTCTTCTTTCATGTAGTCAGGGCTTGCTATTTGGGATCAGAGTCATTCTGTGGTCAGCTATAAACTGATGCTGCTCTGTGGGGGCAAAATAAAAACTAAGGGCGGACAGGACAAACAGGCAAACGCATATCAAGGATTTCTTTGCAACAGAGACAGGGAAACGCCAACACTTGTACATGAGCAACAACTTGCCTGGAATATCACACACAACTCTGAATTCCTGTTTTCAAGACAAAGAAGTTGGCATTATAAGGACTACAGAAAGGAGCTACTGATATGACCTGTTTTATAAAAGAGAAATTAGTCTTGCTTACTCAGCTTAGCCAAAAAAAAAACCAGAATGAAAATAAACATAAAAATTAATTCAAAGGATAAATATCAAAGAGGGAGAACTATGCCAACATTATCATAGAATCACAGAATGTTCAAGGGTTGGGACTGACCATAAAGATCATCTAATCCCAGTCCCCTGCCATGGGCAGGGACACCTCCCACCAGAGCAGGTTGCTCAAGGCTTCATCCCACCTGGCTTTGAACACTGCCAGTTGAGGCAGCCACTGCCTCCCGGGGCAACCTGTGCCAATGTCTCATCACCCTCACAGTAAAGAATTTCTTCCCAATATCTGATCTAAATTTCCCCTCTTCCAATCTGTACCCATTACTCCTTGTCCTACCACTACAGTTCCCAACAGTCTCTGTCCAGCTTCCCTGTAGGCCCCTTCAGATACTGGAAGATGTTCCATGACATTTTATGAAGATTAGAACATACTGCAGTTCAAAATCATCTTCTTCCTGACAACTGCACTCATGTGCATGATCTTGCACAAGCCACAGCCTGTTTTTTCTTCAACTAATTTACTGCTTCGTAAGTTTACTGAAAAAAAACAGCACAGGGAGCATGCAATATTTGACTATTTTTGATAGAAATCTTGATTTGCTATATAACATTCTGCAAAACCAGAAAAAAATGCACATAGAAAATAAATCAGACAAATGAAGGATGTAGAAATCACTGCCACACACAAGTTCTCACTTGTGCATATATAGTAAAAGGAGTATGAAGGGAAATTTTCCACACGATTTTTTGTTATTGACAATTGCATGGCCTTAAGTTTTAAATAACAGGTTAGAAACAGGACAGTCAAGAGACCTGGTATGTTCTCTGCCAAGAAACTGTTTTCTTACAGTGCACTTTCCAATGTAATGTTAATTGCAAAACATTATCTTTTCCTTCTGTATAAGGAAAGTAGCATAAATGACATTTGCCAAGACAATATGAAGACAGACCCTGTGAGATTTCTGAAGATGCCTTGTAATTACCTATATTTTAATTACTTTTCCACATTTTATAGCTGTCCCTGTTTGACTTCACTAAGACTACACTGATGCAGCAGTTGGGAAAAGAACCACTCAAATTTTGTGAACTTGTATAAATTATATAATTTTGACATGACTATTTCAGACTCCTGAGAAGAATAACTAATTTATGTTTAAGTACATTCATAATTCCATTCACCCTTCAGGAAGCTTATGTGGCATTACTAGATGGGTAGCTCAGCTTCCTGACTTTAATCTCAAAAAAACACATAGATTAATTAGGTATCATTGTTCTCCTACTTTGTTTCCTGAAATA